AGGCTCGCGTGTCTGTCTTCCTGAAGGTCTGGGTGGGCCGAAAGTCTAGCAGCGCCTCCTCCCTGCTCTTGGAGGCGGCTGTAGAGACAGGCTTTGGCCAAAGCAGGACCTGGTCTCGTGGCAGGCTGTGAGGTCCTGGCTAAGTGGAGAGTGAGGCCAAGCAGCTGTTTCAGGCCAGGCGCCCCCTTCAGGGTCTCCGGACTGCTGAGCACGGGAAGGCAGAGCAGGGACCTGGGAAGAGGGCAGGGCACAGGGCGGAGAGGATCGGTTTATTGGCACAAATGTTTGGCCACGAAGTGGGGCGCAGTTCTCGTCTTGGTCCAGTGGCCGGGCGCTTTCCAAGAACCACCCGAAATGCTCCCCCGGAGCCTCCCGGCTGTCTGCCAGACACTTGGCGCTGACCCTGCTGGCCTGGCGCACCACTGTCACTCTGGGCTCAAGGCCTGGATGGAGAGCGGGGAGGGCCAGCATCCCCGGCCTCGTCTGGCCTGGCGCCTCTCTCTCGGTTCAATCCCCCAGCCCCCACCCCGTCTTCCCTGCCCCGAGTCCGCTCTGCCGTGGTGGGCCTCTCAGTGCTCCCAGCCCCAGAGGCACCCTTGCCAACATCCCACCTGGCTTGGCTCCTCTGCCCCGTGGAGCCTGAGGGCCGTCCCGTCGAGTCAGCCACCTCAGGACACCAGTTCCCCCAGCCCCCACCAGGACGGTTCAGACTTCGGCACCCCCTCCGCAGGGATAGCCGAGTGGGGATTCCTGGCTCTGATGGCTGTCGCCCCCGCACTTAGAGCCCTTCCTCACTCGCCCCCCACGGGGTCCCTCCGCTGGCACTTGCAGGCCCGCCTCCCTCCTGGCGCCTCAAGCCTTGCCTCTGCTGGCGTCAGCCCCTCACCTCCCTCTTCCTCAGCCGGGTACTCACTTGCCACGTCCCCTCCCGCCGCGTCCCTTCCCTCTCGCAGGGTCCCTGTCAGGCCAGTGCCTGCCAGGGAACGTGTCCTGAGCTGGCTAGGATGGAGGTGCCACTCCCTGGTCTCCTCCTATGTCCGGTGGTTGAGGGGGTTCCATTTGGGGGAAAAGCCGCCAAGTCATTCAGCCCCAAGTCATTCAGCCCCCAGCGAGTTTGGGGACCCCAGCTGATTACCCCTTCATAAGCCTGTGCCCTTGGCATCTGTCCGTTCCCTGGCGTCCGGGGGCCTTCATCACCCCCCCCACACCCCAAGTGACCCCGCCCAGCAGGCCCTGCCCAGGCCACTGCCACCGACCCACAGGCCCAGGTCCCCGCGCGCGCCCGCGGCTGGAGGGGGCGGGTGCTCCCAACAGCGGGCAGCCAGCTGGTTCCCTTCAGGGCCGGGCGTGTCCCCCTCCCCCCAGAGCTGTAACCCGAGCCTCCATAGCGCCTCCCCGCTGCCCCGAGCCCCGACAG